GAGACAGATGGACAACTCCCTTAGTAGGATTTTTAAAATGTATTTATTTTTATTTATTCATTTACTTTTTTTAATTTGAGCAGAGAAGATAGAGAAAGTGAGAAAGCAAGCCACCAGGTCCAGGACTTGAACTATGGTTGGCCATGAAGGAGGGCCCAGTGCCTCAACCACCACACCACCTGCTGGTCCTCCTTAGTAGGATCTTCATGCCATGATACCCGCCTCATTCCAGCCAGCCCTGGGTCACAGGTAGTGCACGTTCAGTGTGTTCAGGAAAATTTTCAGACATGAACTTGGAGCTTTCCCAGGTGGGTCAGCCTCACAGAGCTTTGTGTTACCACTGTGCCACATCCCAGGCCCTCCCTGGCATTCTTATCCCTCTTCTTTTTCTTTCCTTTTTTTAAAAGGGATTTTTGCTATAGGGCACGTGTGCTTGTCAGAGAGACAGAGAGAGACAGAAAGTGAGAAGTCACCCCCTGAGGGGAAGGCCGTGCTGCAATCCCTTGTCCTCTCAGGATTTTGGGCAGGCTCGCACTCGCACCAGCACAAGTTTAAGCCGCTGGGTCTGGGACTTGAACTGGGGCAGACATGGGAGTCCAGCAACATAACTATTACGCCATCTGCCAGTCCTTTTTCTTTTCTGTTTTTAAAAAGCTTTATTTATTTATTTTAACTTTTATTTATTATTATTGTGTTTCATTTTATCATTGCTGTTTGATTATTTTTGCTAGAGGATACATGTACTTGCCAGAGAATGACGAAGAAAGACAGGGAGAGAGGGAAAGAAAGTAACCCTCATGAGGAATAACCATGATGCAATCCCTAATCCCTTCTCCATCTCTCCTCCTTTTGTGATTTTGGCGTGCACTCACACACTCACACACACACCTAGTGTGTTTCTCAAGTTGTACAGTTGTCCACGTGGAACCCAGCTGCCTTAACCACCAGGTCATGGGGCTGGCTGGAGGTGGGGGAAGTGCTTGCTTTTTAATTTGTCAGAGGGTGCTTGTGCTTGCCAGAGAGAGACTGAGAGACGAAAGAGAAAAGAAGAAAGCGCTCTGCCCACCCCAGTGGGGACGTGGCCATGCCACAACCCCTTCCCCGTTTCTCTATCCCCGTTGTTGGGATTTTTGGCATACTGGTGCAAGAGCTCAGCATGTTTTTCATGTCGTTGGGTTGGGTCTCTGCATGGTTGGCCATGTGGGATTTGGCTCCCTTAACCACTAAGCCACAGGGTGACCAGTTTCTCTCTGGTACGTGTGCACATGGTCTGTGGCAAAACAAAACAAAACAAAAGCTAATTGATGAAAATTAACCAAGCTACAGAATTTCTTTGAATTTCACCCATAGGGTTCCCAGGCGCCCAAGACGCGAATGACTTTAAAACAGAGTGTCTTGGTGGGGCTGGCAGATGGTATGGTGGTTAATAGTGTTAGATTCCCACATGGCTGACTATAGTTTCAGTCCTGGACTCAGTGGCTCGCTTTTTCCCTTTCCTTCTCTCTCTGTCTCTCTCTAATCAAATTAAAAAATAGTAACATATGGAATTAATGAAATAAATCATTTTTTTTAAGAGGTTTTTGCTATAGGGTGTGTGCGCTCACCAGAAAGACAGAGAGACAGAGAGATAGAAAATGAGAAATCAGCCCCCCGGGGGGATGGCCACGCAGCAATCCCTTCTCCTCTCCTCTCGGGATCTTGGGCATGCACGCATGCGCCTGGCATGAGTTTAAGCCACCGGGTCTGGAACTTGAACCACGGTCAACTACATGGGAGCCCAGCGACATAGCCATTACACCAACTGTTGGTCCCATGAAATAAATAATTCTATACAAAAATTTTAAAATGGAGGGTCTTGGGGCCAGGTTACGTCACTGGACTCACAGAGCTGACTGTGGTACGGGTGTTGGATTTGGTGGCTTTAAAATTATGCTAAGTGTACGTGCATGTGACATGGGAGGTGTCTCCTTGGGAGGTGACTTCTCTTTTCCTCTCAGTCTCTGTCTCTCTCTCCAGCAAGCACATGCACCCTATAGCAAAAACCTCTCCAAAATAACCCTTTTGGCTCTCTGAGTAGCACCATGGCGGCTGGCAAGAATAAGCCCCTTATGAAAGGCGGCGAAAAGGGA